TTTTCCTGATATAGGTAACGTGATTAATTTTGTATGCTGTAAACAGCTGTGGGACAAAACTTTTCCCTTACTACACCTTATTGGCCACTTTTTTCCTACACATCTTTTTTTCTCTTCTCATTCTCTTTTCCCAATATGTAATTTTTTTTCTCATTCTCTTTTCCCAATACTTATTTTTTTTCTCCTCTTTGAATTAGTCTCTATACCCACAACCCAGTATAATGAAAATTATTAGAAGAGATCAATCCAGCTAATTAATGTCATGCATAATTTTGTGTAGATACTATTTCTGTAGAATTTGAGACTCTGATGTGCTTGAGTATCACTCAGTCTCACTGCTGTCTAAACTCCCCTGCTTCACTAACCTTGTCTGCTGTTCTAAGTCCAGTGTCACTTGATGTGTTTCCTGCCTCCTCCCTTGTGCACTCCTCTTTTTCTGTGCAGTAAGTTGCCATTTCCATGCTGCTGTACATGATCAGTTTGCTTGTCCTCAATTGTAAATTCATGCTGATGAGAACTGTAACTCTCACTTACAGTCCTGAAGGGTGTTGATTCAGTGAGGTAGGGCTTGAGCTTTTTCTAAAAACAAGCTGGGTGGCAGTTGGGAGCCAGCTGGGTGGCCATAAGCCAGAGGACAGCACCTGCTGTTCCCTACTCCCTTGTCAGTATGTCCCTGGGCTTGACTCAAGCACACTCCAAAACCTGCAGTCAAATAACAGGGGTGGCTGGAACGGCCACTCTTGTTTCAGGGAAAACATCCCTCAGGGTTACAAAGCTAACAACTGTTCCTTTTCCATCAGAGATGATGGAGGGAGTGGAAGGGGACAAAACCCCTCAACTCCATGGTATTACAATCTTATCAATGTCAGTTCACAGTTTGGCAGCCTGTCTCTCTCCAGGTGCCAGGTGTGTGCTTGTTTATGGTGTAGTGGAGAGGTGGCTTAGCTAGTGCTTCCAGGTGCCTCCCAACAATTTATACAGCAGTTCCTTTTAGATTGTTTTTCCTCCACACCTGCTCCTGAGCTTTCTTCCATGGAGGTCTTGGAGGCAGAGAACCTCTCCTTGCAGCCTGTGGTGCTGCCCTTCTCTCCACCAGCTCTTCAGTGCAAAGTATGCAGAAGAATAGAGGAAAGGTAAGAGTCAAATCAGAGGTATATCTGTGTGGCTTTGAGACTTTATTTTTCACTTGCTTCTGAAAGAATAGCAAGTTATTATTTTAAGGAAACTGAATTCAAGCACTCTCAATGCCCAAAGAAATATCTTTTCTGTGGTGGTGGGAGCTGGCATGCTTGAGCTTTTTCTAAAAACAAGCTGGGTGGCAGTTGGGAGCCAGCTGGGTGGCCATAAGCCAGAGGACAGCACCTGCTGTTCCCTACTCCCTTGTCAGTATGTCCCTGGGCTTGACTCAAGCACACTCCAAAACCTGCAGTCAAATAACAGGGGTGGCTGGAACGGCCACTCTTGTTTCAGGGAAAACATCCCTCAGGGTTACAAAGCTAACAACTGTTCCTTTTCCATCAGAGATGATGGAGGGAGTGGAAGGGGACAAAACCCCTCAACTCCATGGTATTACAATCTTATCAGTGTCAGTTCACAGTTTGGCAGCCTGTCTCTCTCCAGGTGCCAGGTGTGTGCTTGTTTATGGTGTAGTGGAGAGGTGGCTTAGCTAGTGCTTCCAGGTGCCTCCCAACAATTTATACAGCAGTTCCTTTTAGATTGTTTTTCCTCCACACCTGCTCCTGAGCTTTCTTCCATGGAGGTCTTGGAGGCAGAGAACCTCTCCTTGCAGCCTGTGGTGCTGCCCTTCTCTCCACCAGCTCTTCAGTGCAAAGTATGCAGAAGAATAGAGGTATATCTGTGTGGCTTTGAGACTTTATTTTTCACTTGCTTCTGAAAGAATAGCAAGTTATTATTTTAAGGAAACTGAATTCAAGCACTCTCAATGCCCAAAGAAATATCTTTTCTGTGGTGGTGGGAGCTGGCATGGCTAGTGACCAGGGAGCTGGCATGTCTAGTGACCAGGTAATAGCAGTATGTTTTACATTTCCTCATCAAAGCTGATGCTGTGCCATGCCCACTGTGAGGGAGGACATGTGGCCTCCTGTGGCTTAGAGCTTACTAGCAAGGGCCTGTAAGTTGCAACCGGAAGTTTTGCTCTACATTCCTTGCCTTTTCAGTGCAGTGTTGTGTCACCTTAACATTCGAGTTCTCCTCTGAAGTGAAAGAACCATTTAATTTCCTTTTATATTGATGCTGGTCCCTGGCAATGCACTTAAGAGTGGGAATAGACATCTTCATTCTCCTGATAAGCTTTCTGCCACTTAGCTGACTTCTGTGGACCACAAGCTCACAGCTTCTCGGAGTCCCACAGGATGAGACTTCACATACCCAGTACCACACAGGGGGAGGAGAAAGGGGAAGCAGCTCCTGCTGCCTCGGGTCATGTGGCAGCCTGCAGGAGCTGCGGGCAGCTGGGAATGGCTTGTATCCAGTGGGAATCACTACAGCACAGAGTGGAGACATCTTAAATGCTTTAGGACCCCCATGGACACAGCTTTAGTGGCAGATCACAGCTCAGACTTGCTACTGGTCCCTCCCTTGGGTGTATGGAGAGGGTGTACTTGCAGACTACAATCCAGTAAGAGAAGTTTACATGGGAGAGTTGAAACCTCACAGTGGGTGATGGGAGTAAAAGGTTAGGCTTTTTACACTTGCCCTGAATGAAGAGCAGGAGAATGGGAGAAAAGGGGGCAGATGGCACCCACAGCAGGGCTGGCACGGGAAGAGGCTAAGTGCTGTAAGGAGAAGTAAATGCACTCATAAACAAAACAAGCTGTGCTGGAGTTTGCAAAGCTACTTATTTTCAAAGCAGCCTTCAGCTGACCGTTTGCATTCAGAAGAATTTTTGTGGCTGGTGAGAGTGCCTTTACTGTTCACATGAATAAATGTTTACAAGAATGTTTGTGCTAGAAGTGCTCTTTTAGCCATTCTGTAAAGTTATGTTTTTAATTATTCATATGATAGATTAATCTGACACTCACAGGTGGCCCTGGATAACTGGGAGGCAAGAAAGCTGAATGGTGTGCCGCTGCTTTATGCTACATAGGCCATCAGAGACTTGAAACACCATCAGATGACCATTCAAAGAAACTGGAGCAAAATCCCTCCCATTTTAAATGTCTCCATTTCAACTCCAAACCTTTCATATGATCTCTTTTTTCATACACTCTACACACCCCTAGTCTTGTTCACTAGTCATTAGAATTATTTGTATTGCTCTTTTCTTCATCTAATGGAGACTTCTTGGACAAGTGTGTGTGGGGAGAAGAGGAGAAACAGTGAAGAAAGAGAGTGGGAATTATAGCCACTTATGGTGGCAAAAGAGGTGCATAATTTATTTTCTGGCTGCAGAGCTTTCATGTCTTACATAAAAGTTCCTGAGAGCTGAAGAACTCAGTTATTGTTTCAGGGGGAAGATTTTTTTGTTGTTGGGCTATTTTTATTTTTTTTTTCTGTGTGGCAAGTCATGGGACATTTTCTTCTTCCATTGTCCTAGGCTCTGCTCCAGAACACACTGCAGTATGTGGCAGAGAAGTCAGTAGAGCTACTGACTACTAGGATTAAGACATCTCCTGTAGCAAACCTTAATCCTTCTGATGGGATAAGAGTTTAAAGGGTCTCATCTGAGCATCATTGAAGTCAGTGCAACTATTTCTAGTGTTTTCAGCAGACTTTAGATTATACTGTTGAAGACAGTCCTTGCAGTTTAGTCAGTAGCCCCAGGTATGCCCCAAGGGCATATTCCTGTTTCAATTAGTAGTTTCCAGATTCATAGTTGACTAGACAATCAGCAAGACTGTAATGCTTTCATAGTATTTTCAGGGAAGAGTTTGATGATAAAAATACACTGGTCATTGGGCTGGCTGACCTGAGATTTCAGAAATTTGGGAACTGTTGGTCTACATCTGGTTTGAATTGTATGGCCTTAAGGAGCTGTACAAGTGAGAAAAAGACCCAAGCAGTGGAGATTGCTTCTTCACTCATTTTTCAGCCTTTCTTCATGCTTTCTTTAATGGTAATTTTTTCCTTAAGTATGATATCATCTAATACCAAGGACTCCCTTGTTTATGAAACTGTTGGTTAATGTTTTAACCTGTATGTCTTCAAGTGATGTAACAAGGAAGTCCGTTGACAGGACACTACCTCAAGTCAGGTTTCTTAGGTAGCATATTAACAGATCACTGTAGAAGGGCAGTTTCTGGTCTGCTGGTATGCTTTGATTCCCATTCATTACAGGTGACTTCTTTTAGATGTTAAGGAACATTAAGCTGCTGAAGCCTGACAAAGCTGAGTATTAAAGGAGTGCATTTCCATTACATCTGCAGTACTTGCATCTAAAACAGTTGGATTTTAAACAAAATTTCCTTAAAATTCAACAACCCCATCCCAGAAAATCAGTTTTAATGTAATAAAAGTTTCTTGTGGCAGCAGAATTTCAAGCAGTGCTGAACTCAACTTGCAGTGAAGTACCTTCTTGGTTTACTCTTCTAACATTTTAAAAGGAAGTAAAATTTGCTAAGGTTTAAAAACATTGTACAGCAAAACTAGATGGCCTCCCTTTGAAGGCAGAAACTTGTTAGACCTTTCAATGTACTGCTAGAATAGTATATAAGCAGTCAGTTGGTCCAAACTTTGTATTTAAGGTTTCATGATTGAAGCATGTCCAAAGGGAATTATAAAAATTAGGTTGTGTCCTTCATTAACCATAAACATCTGGAAATAGTTTAGGATGGATGCTTAAAAAAAAGCCCAAACTTTTCTCAAAACAGTACCATGTGCATCAAGGTCTGCTAATCTGACCTTCTGCATTTTCCTTTCTGCACTGTTTACTGTGATCACTGAATGGCTCTCAGAACACTTACAGGTAAGTTTAATGGGATCATCTTACTGAAGCAAGTATAGAGGACATGTGTGTAAGTCTCAGCCTGTCTCTTTTGCAGCTGGAAGAAGGAGAAAGCTTTGCTAAAATGGTGATAGACCTGGGTGAGGATGCTGGAGAGTTCCTAGCAAAGGGTTACCTGGCACTGGGCCTGACATACAGTCTTCAAGCTACTGATGGTGAGTTACCCTGTTTGTCAAGTATGTTGTACAGAAAACATCTGTGCGGTCTTCAGTGCAAGCAATGGATATTTGTTAGAAGCTCTGGTTTTGATGCTCACTGGACACAGAAAACAATCAGATTGCAAGACAAATGGAGACTGTTCACTTGCTCAGAGAACTGTCTTCTATGGTAATAAAAGTGAAGTTTTTAGGTAAAGGAAGAAATGCAAATAATTACTTAGGAGGTGATACTCTGTAGCCAACAATGCTGGGGGGGCTTTACTTGGATATTTTTAATTCGTTTCTTTTGCTTATTTATACAACAAAAAGTCAGATTTTCCATCTATTTTCATATTTTTGTCACCCACTCATAAATCATATAAAGAAATACAGTCCAAGAACTGGAGTCAGAAATGCCTGACTTCAGTTCCTGGCGTGATACTGATTCCCCACAGAGATTCAGCCTCTCTGATGTCGTTTCTTTCTCTGCTTAGAAGTAAACAGGATAAAAATATCTACCTCACTGGTACGTGTGAATGTTGACTAGACACAGACCACTGAGCGCAAGAAGTTGGGGTTTTTTTATGCTACTTGCTTGGGTTTTAAATGACTGGACAATGGGCTCCAGCAGATTTGGTGCGCGGTAGCAAGAAGGGCTTGAAGTCCCAGTGTTTGAGAGGGTTCTAGCTCTGACCTTCATCAAGCTGACAGGTGGGAAGTCTTTGTTTCTTCTAACATAGGTAGAAATCTTTCTAACATCTGGATAATGGCTGAGCTAGTGTGTTTCCTAATCAGCCTGGCAGTCCTGCCCACATGCAGGCTATGGCTTTTGTGTCAGATGGGTCCCATTGAAATGAACCAACTTCCTCCAGCAAATGAGCCTGAAACAAAGCTAAAATGATTGCATGGTGTCATGGAGGTATGATATGGGTTACACCAGAATTCAGTAAGGCATGTGTATGAGGAGATGGCTTGTGCTCTTCAGTAGTGGAAGTAGTGCTAGACAGACATACTTGATAGCTGTTCTGAGAACTCCTTTCCAACATGGAGTCTAACAGGCACTGTAGCTCTCTTTCTCTGAATTCTGAATTTGGAATTTCTCTGCCTCAGAATAGTTCCCCCTAGAAAGTTCATGTCAAGCAAATTAATGTCCTTCTTAGTCTGAGCTTTCACCTATATATATGTATTTACATTTCAATATACACTGAGTTTGCTTAACAGCCTAGCTTTTTAGGCATTTTTCCTAGATTTTTTTAAGCTGTCCCTAAAGCTATACAAGATCCCAGAGACCCTTTTCAGAGATAGAAGATTGTCTGTTAGCCCATAACAAGCTATTTGTTATGGAAAGAAGGTGGTTTCTAAAGAGCAGGATGGTGTTGTAGAGGCATGTTCTGTAGTCTGACCTTAAACATAATCTGGTGCAGCAAAATGTGAGTTGGAAACTTCTTCTGGAAGTGAAGTCATCTCTTGAGTTTTCAAGAGATTAGTTCAGATGCTGCAATAGGTGTCCCTTTTAATGTAAAAGAAACAAGTCTTCATAACAACTGCTTTGGGTTTTTTTTCAGTTTAGCATCTGATTTATATTGTGAAACAGTGGAATATCTTCCTTCTGCTCATATCTGTAGCCTTTAAGTCAGTAGGGACAGGCACTCAGTTATTTGGGGGAAATCTGAAGAGTATCCATCTTTCAGTTTGTATTTTAATGAAATAGATAAAGTCCTTCAAAAGCATACTTATGATAATCATGAATATGGAGCACCATTTCAATAGAAAATGTCAAATTTGCACTAATGAGACATTTTTCAGTAGCATCATTTAAAAATAGCTTTTCATAACGAGAAAGCAAGAGGAAAGCATACTGAAAGGAAGAGAGCAATTCTCCTATAGAATCCTGCCTAATACTGTCCATTTTGTTTATCATTGTGTCTATACCAGTTCATAGTAACATATGCAGACACATAGTCAAGCATCTGTGAGTAGATATGACTTCTGTAACTTTCCACTGGAGCTGACTTCAGTGACTCAGCATTTCAATGGTAGCTACGTGTGAAGGGTCTAGAGAACAAGTCCTGTGAGGAGAGGCTGAGGCAACTGGGATTACTTAGTTTGGAGGAAGCTGATGGGAGACCTTGTTGCTCTCTACAACTACCTGAAAGAGGCTGTAGTGTTGGCCTCTTCTCCCAAGTGAATAATGATAGGACCAGAGCAAATGGCCTCAAGTTGCCCCAGGGGAAGTTTAGACCGGATATTAGGCAGAATTTCTATACTGAAAGAATGGTCAGGCACTGGAATGGGCTGCCCAGGGAGGTGGTGGAGTCATTCATCATCCCTGGAGGTATTAAAAAAGCTTGTAGATGTGGCACTTCAGTACATGTTGTAGTGGGCATGGTGGGTTTTTTCTGGGTTGGCAGTTGGACTCTGTGTTCTTAGAGATCTTCTCCAACCATGACAATTCTGTGTTCTGTGTTTCAGAGATGTTTGACCAATTGCCTTATAAAGCTTACAGCACTATATCAAGATGCCTTCCATCCAGTGTTTGCCTTTCTTATTTAATAATTTCTTTTCTGTATTTTTTTTTTCTCCTGTGTTACCAAATCACTGAGAAGTTGTATTAAAGCCTTTCCTTTGTGA